CCCCCCCCCCCCCTCCGATTCATCTCCCTTTAGGTGCTGGAGGAAGCTCTGGCCACCATTTTGCTGCTCTGCTGGGATATTTTTTCTGGGTGGCTGTCGAGCAGAGGGGGTGGGGTGCGGAGCGCGGCCTGCCCGGCGTGCACTGCCCCCGACTGCGGCTGGGATTAGCTGTCACCCTGTCCCCTGCCACCCCTGTGCCCCTTGTGGAGGGTAAAACCTTTAAAGTGAAAGGAAAGACATAAAAATTTTAATTAAATAAATAAAATAAAGAAGAAAAAGGCCCATCTTGGCAGAGGGAGGGGGAGACCCCAATTCTTTTACAATTTCTGGTGTGGGGCAGAACCATCTAGGCTGGGAAAAAACAGGAGTGAGGAAATGGGAGAGAGCTTTTCCCTTGGGATCAACTACAAAGAGCAGGAGCTCAGGTTGGGAGCGCGCCTTTTGAAACGATGGATACCGCAGGTACCCCTGGGTGACGGCAATAATAATAATAATAATAATAATAATAATAGATAAGGGAGAGCGACGCGCCGGTACTGCTCTGTTCCCCCTCCCCGGCGCCCCCAGTAAAGTAATACCCACCGGGTCTCCTCGCAGTGCTATCCCTGCGTGTCTGTGTGTGGCCTACCCCCATTCATCATTTGGCTCCCACTGCAGAACTCGCTCCATTTTTAAAATTATGCATGATACACTGAAGAGACAATTTGGGTTTCCCCCACCTCTCCCTTGCCCTTGAAGAAAGCAAGCCCTTGTCTCATTTGCATTTGCATTAAACCCCTGCTCTCTATAAGCTAAGCAAAGGGGAAGGACTTGAAGCCTATGGGATGGCTTTAGGGCTCTGCCCCTTGCTTTTGGCTCTCTCTCTCTCTCTTTCTCATTCTCTCTCGTGCTTTGATCTCTGCTTAACAACAGTAACGTCACAGGGGCTATACAGGAGAGTTTTGTTGGAAGTTAGAAAGTTTTGCAGCCTCCAGAGGGCTGTAGCGGCAGTAGCAGAAGCAGCATCCAAGGGACTCCTGGAAGGGGAAGAGAGAGAGCGAGTGAGCGACTGACTCAGTCCTGCTGCAGAAAACTGACTCGAGGCGACGGAGGCAGACATGGAACATCAGCTGCTGTGCTGCGAGGTGGAGACCATCCGACGAGCCTACCTAGATGCCAACCTCCTCAATGACAGGGTGCTGCAGACAATGCTGAAGGCGGAGGAGACCTGCTCGCCCTCCGTCTCCTACTTCAAGTGCGTGCAGAAAGAAATCTTGCCATATATGAGGAAAATAGTTGCCACTTGGATGTTGGAGGTTCGTATCTTTTCGGGGATTTTCTTTGCAAGCTTCGGGACCCAAATGAATTAAGCCGGAGAGCTGCTCCCCCATCTCCTGCTCTCCCCCCACCCCCCCTCCTTCCCCCGAAATCAGTTCCCCGGTGCGGCACACGTTGCTCTG